TCCATTCGGGGAAACCATCCGCAAACATCAATCTTGGAATTCGTGTGGTGGTGCCCATAACAGCGTCAAGTTCATGGAAATGATTTTGACCTTGAGAATCCATTTGAGATTAAGCAAATTAAGCAAATTAAGTTCAAAATTTGAGTTTACAGTTGAAAGGGTTTACGACCGTAAACCGAGTTTACGGTCCAGATGATTTCGACCTTAAACGGAGTTTACGGTTCTGAGCTTACGACCGTAAACTGTGTTTACGGTTGAACAGTTTACGGTTTGTGAGTTTCCGGTTTATGTGTTTACGGTTCTCGAAACTTGGTTTACGGTTTATGAAGATTCAGTGTTTACGATTCTTGATGTTTTTGATTCAACAACCGTAAATGGAGTTTACGGTTGACAGCAAACTCCCAGAAAACCCTTATGAACACGATTTTTCAGTAGAAACGATTCCCTTCACTACGTAAACACTAACAGCAGGTTCGAACTTCAAAGATATCGGTTGAAATAGCCCAAAAATCGATTGAAAGAAGCTTTAACACCGGTTTTAGCTCTGATACTAATTGTAAGGTCCAAATATGGATCTTTACCAGTAGTTAAGCAACAATCAATCACAGAATAAGAATAAGATGAAAAGAAATCAAGCTTGCACACGATTATATTGAGAAAATCGTCTGGTACAACTCGATAGGACTCTATGGCATCAACAACAACTAAAAGACTAACACCTCCTCTATATATACAAGACACGATCATAAACTGGGTTTGCGACCGTAAACAGAGTTTACGGTCGTAAACGTGCTTACGGCCGTAAACACAGTTTACGGTCGTAAACACACAAAAAGTTCAACAATCAACAAACAACCCATAAACACTATAACAGACTCATTCTGAACACAAAACAATGAAAGCCTAGACCAAACCATTTCCAGGGTCCTTCACTTACGGATGCTATTATGTCACCAGAAAGGATGTACATCGTTTGATGACTTGCGTACTGTTTCTGGTGCTGTTTACCCAACTTTCAGAGCTGCCTGTAATGCACTTGGATTGATAGGTGATGATATCGAGTGGTTGACATGTTTCACAGAGGCTTCAGTCTGGGCAACTGCATCACAACTACGATCGCTTTTCTGTCATCTACTGTTATTCTGTGAGGTTAGCAATCCACTTTTGCTGTGGAATACAGCGTGTGATCAGATGAAAGACGACTATTTACATTGCCTCACAATTGAAATACCAGATAAGACAGTTGCTTCTGTTGCAGAGATAGTTGAACAACAACTGCTTCATGATTTAGAAGATACACTCCGCTCGGCGGTCCCATCAAAATCGATGGCAGACTTTGGCCTTCCAGTTCCGTCAATGGATATGATTGGTGTCCTACGAAATCGACTGCTCTTCGAAGAAATGAGCTACGACAAGGAAACACTACTGAAACAGCACAATGATCTCCTACCAAAGCTAAACGGTGACCAGCGATCAGTCTACAACAAAGTTGTTACTTCCATACAAGACAAAAAACAAACACTAATATTTGTCTATGGACACGGTGGTACTGGTAAAACATTTTTGTGGACAACTATTCTTTCACATTTGAGGTCGACTGGCAAGATTGCTTTGGCTGTTGCTGCTTCTGGAATCGCATCGCTTTTGTTACCCTCTGGAACGACTGCACACTCAAGGTTCAAAATACCTATCGATTTAAACAACAAAAACTCATGTGATATAAAAAAACGCACCTTCCTTGGAGATCTTCTGCAGCATACAACACTCATTATCTCGGATGAGGCACCGATGAGTGATAGAAGGTGCTTTGAATTTTTGGACTGTTCACTTAGAGATGTCCTGGATTGCGACGAAAAACCATTCGGAGGCATATCTATACTCCTTGGTGGTGATTTCCGCCAAACTCTTCCTGTTCTACCAAAGAGTACACGTTCCGAAATCATAGCATTAACTCTACCAAGTTCGTATTTATGGACATACTTTAGTATTCACTTCTTACATACGAACATGAGACTAGAGTCCTGTGATGCAGTACCTCATGGTACAATGTCCTCATCGGATTTTGCCACATGGCTGTTGGCTATTGGTAATGGACTTATAGGTGTACCTGACAAAGATGACCCACGGGACACAAGTTGGATACAAATTCCACCTTCACTTCTAATTTCACCTTCCTCCAATTCCTTGCAAACCTTAATAGATTTTGTCTATGGGGATGGTACACTTAATCAGCCGACTGCAGGAGACCTTTCAGCAAGAGCAATAGTTTCTCCCACAAACGATTCAGCAGATGAGATAAACACTCATGTTTTAGAAATGGTCACAACAGCTGCGAAGGTATACAATAGCACAGACTCCATGCAGCCAAATGCAAAACATACATCGGATTTGGAGGGGCTCTATCCAATTGAATACCTAAACCAACTAAGCTTTCTAGGAATACCACCACACGACCTTTTACTTAAGGTCAACTGTCCGATAATGCTGTTAAGAAACATAAATAAAAAAGAAGGCTTATGTAATGGTACTCGTATGATTGTGTCACAATTGTTACCAACTGTTATCGAAACCATAATCATAACCGGTACATCCATCGGAAAACGTGTATATATATACCACGCATAAAGTTCATACATAAGTCATCAGATCTGCCATTCATCTTTTCGCGAAAACAGTTTCCAGTTAAAGTTTGTTACGCAATGACTATCAACAAGAGTTAAGGGCAATCACTACGTAAAATAGGTATCTACTTGTCACAGCCTGTCTTCGCACACGGACAACTTTACGTTGCCCTTTCCCGAGCAACATCACCGGATTCCATAAAGATACTAATAAACAACACTGTCACAATGAAAACCAACATAACAAAAAATGTTGTCTTCAAAGATCTACTGCAGAAAGTTATTTGAATCGAGGTCTACAGTATCACTACCTGTCCTGCCTTTCATGAACCTTACTACTTTTTACTTTTTTCATACATTCTTTGCTATTCCAAAATTCTTTACATGTTTATTCACTTTTTTATATTCATCTGGATATACTACTGACCTCCATATCTTTTCTTATATTAGAGAGACCACACAAATGATGACGACTATCTCAGAACTCAAAGCTGAAGGTATCGGAGGGCCCTTACAGGTTAGAATTCTACGCAAATGGAAGCACGATGTCCGCCAATATGAAACCTGGTACCTGGCTGTTGACAGATTTGTAAGTTCCTACCAAAACATATGACAACAAAATGGGTTGAAAATTGAAAAAATTTCAGCAAATGAAATATGTACCAACCAACATGTGATGCCTGTTTATAAGAATACAACAATAACAGTTTCTGAACATGAAGTTTCATGCAATTAAACTTCATATCAACCAAATCATTACCAATTGCCTTTTAATATTGATGAAAAGAACTGCTTTCTTTGTTAAAAAAACATATACGATTACCATATAATATGACTACCTAAGCCCAAAAACACACCTAATAACACTGATTATAACACTATAATAATCCGTTCGTACAGGCTGATGCAATTCAAATTCTTGGATAGCGAACAAATCAGAGCTACATTGAATCTATTTTTAATGTTTCAGAGTGTTATGTCATATCTGATTACAACTGCCCAGCGTTAGAAAAGTATCAAAAGGTTCTTGAAAATGACATCTACATATATGTTGGTCTGAACTCTATCATACAACCAATTCCAGACACAACAACAATTCCAAAAAACTGGTTTCGCTTTGTTTCAAAGTCGCATCTGATAGAACTCAGAGAAACACCACCATATTATCCAGGTATTCTTCACAATAAACAAGTTCATAGTACCAGTACTTCTTACATACTTATATTTCCTTCTAAACAGACTTCATTGGTGTTCTATCAAAGATAAGAGATTGCACGAAAACAAATAAGGAACCGTTTGTCTTACTTATTATCACAGATGAAAGGTATATATAATAACCATCAAACTACACTTATAAGTTCTAACATCACTGTTTAGCACCAAAAACAACCAAAATTTCAATAGTGGTAGTGACCTCGCAATCAATCTATGGAGAGAATGCATAACAAATCCACATAAATTCAACCGTGCCGCCCTGGATCATGCGGCTACGCCAACCGTTGTTGCAGTAACAAACCTAAAACCATCAAAATCTAATGGTATCCTCTTCTACATACTAGCATATATATATGTAATATGACTATGACACTGTATCCTCTGATGCCCTTAATCACCAACTAACTTACATACAGGAGCATTACGACATGGGTCATCACATGCTACACATATCTATGTGAATCCAGATATATCGGAGACAACAGCACTGATTAATTTGTAAGTGACATACATTACAGAACAATATTATCCTTCATATCATCGATATCATATACCAACAAGTATACGACCTTAGATTCACAGGACCCTCAAGGCCAGTGTCGGCACCATCTGGAACCCCCTCAACCTTACATGACATGAAACTGAAAACCCGATCTGATCTGCTGGTAAGATGATAGCACTAATACAACTTTTTACAAATACACACCATTTTGTACTCCCACAACCAGGTCACCTTTGCCTATAGGATAAAACATTCATGGTACAAGCTTCAATCAAGGACTTTCACTTCCAAAACACCTGGTACCAAGCAACATGTCCGATCTGCAAAGATCCGATTTTCAGAAGAGGTTATGACTGGTACTGCAGTGCACATGGGCTGACTGAAAAACCAAACTACATGTAAGTATATACTCAATCAAACAAAAAACAATTCTTCACCAACTACACAATTTACAACTGTTCTATATCCATAGGTACAAATTAACAGTAACCATTACCGACACTACAGAGACCATACCTGCAGTTGTATCCGAAACATCATGTCGAAAGTTGTTAAACTCATCACTTGACAAATACATATCCGACAACCCCCACACAAATAGAAACAGACTGCCTGCAACCATCACCGATCAAAAAGAACAAACAAAAACAATGTTTATCCAAATGTTGAGGGCATCAGCACCTGACAACATCCGCTTCATAATAATTGACATCCATGACCCAACAACAACACCAGAGCCACCTGTTCCGACAACACCAGCCCTATCACGGATGACAAGAATGCGAAAAGATAACACATCAGCTGAAGAAGACAGAACTCCTCAATCCATCGCACGTGCTCTCACCTTCAGTCCACCAGGTAATAACCCAATCTACCAATATCTAAGATAAAAAAATTATTATCCACAATGAATGGTAACACTTTTCCAATTCACCTATCACAGGCCCACCACCAGCAAAAAATCAAAAACGGAGCAGCAAATAGTAAATACCACAAAGCTGCACTTTCAACCCCATGTTTTGTTTCGAATGATATCATTATCGTTTTGTAACAAATGTGATAAACAAGTATCCTATGTATAAACACTCCATCAAAACATCCTGCTATCCGAAACTATAATTAGTCACACTGTTTGCATGCTTGTCCTAGAAGAAAAAATTAATTTCCTTCCTCTATTAATTAATAACTCACTTATATACAACAATACAATTATTCCCGACCTAAAAACAACTTTGGACAAAAAGACAAATATACCCTGTAAGAAAAACAAATTGTTACAAAATATTATTCTATTTAAACCTGAACAAAGAAATGAGAAAAGTGAATCCTAAATCCCAGCACCAGTAATTGTTGTTCGCTTTCTATCCGTTACAGATACAAAACAGCCACTATCTATTTCAAATATATAATTTAAATAACTTAAGTTTACTAATTTCATTGTCTAATAGTATCAATTTTATATTTGTTCCACATCAATAATAAACAATTGAAACAGATAATAATACACAGATATATGCTCTCTGACATACCAATCAACGCAAATGTAAGTACCAAAAGAAATGTACTCAATTAATGGTAAGTTACTAAAATTGACCCCATGCAGTCAAAGATCTGGGCAGATATTGCTAATTGAATACCACACACAAACCCAACAATCACATCTATCAATTAAAGGAAAAAAAAGGTCACAGCAGCCACCCTATATCCATTACTTCCCAGAATAGTAATCAATTGTCCCTAATTAATACCATCCAACAACCACAATACTCCATTATAAAATCCCACAGCAAACTCATCGGCTTCACCAACAAACACAACACCCAAAATATGTAAGCCATTATGCAGAAACTGCAGAACCAGCTGGAAACAATGAAAGAGTCGTTAGCCTTGGTCCAAAACACATTCACCAGCATCAACCAGTCAAGACAGAAAATGATACAAGAAGCTCCTGAGGAAATGCCGTACAGACATGTTGTCATCACGGAATCGCTCATCAACGACCTCGACAAGGACATTGTGCTGATGCTGGACATTTTCCAAAGCATGCACGACAACATGAGTGCGGCAACAGACATCTGCAACAAAATCATTGAAGACCACCGCACACCATGAACAAGAAACCCTTCGTACACTTTTTGTAATCGAATGTCATTCAGACTCTTTTCTAATCGACAAGCTTTATCACTTAATGAATATTAGCTTTTCCTCCTTATAAATTACTGTCTTTATCTACCCTATAAGCATATTAATCGCCTTCTACACTTATCAATGTTTGTAATGACTTTCTGATACCCTCTGCCCCCCGCGGAGCGGGGGTTAGGAATCTAGTTATTATTTTTATTATTATTATTTTGCATACAAATTGTTTATTACTAACATTTTGAATAAAAATAGACTTATGGTAAAAAAATGTTTTTTTAGGATTTTATTCGATGAAACATGTATCAAAATGATAAGTGGCCATCTAAAATTCGTAAATGTTAAATTTCAATAGTTGGTTAAACTGTAAATTTTAATAAAATATATGAACTAAGTTTTACAAAAAAAAGTCATTACTTGAACTGAATCTGAAAGTTATCTTTCTTAATAAAGTACACAAAAACCCAAAACACCATATTCACAAAAGATATTGTTTGAAAGCAAGTTTCAAAATATATTTAGCTACGAGAGAGAAATGAATTATAAAATATGCTTCTTATTTCAAATTACATATTTTATTATATTTATATAAATCATACAATATACAATAATATATAGATTTTAAAAAATGCTATCCAATCATTATGTGGAAGTTTATATACAACGATAAGCATACTATAAAAAATATTTAAAAATTTTATTAATTTTATTTGATTTTTGTTCTTGATGGTTTAAAAGGCAACTAACTTTTGAAAGATTATACCTTAAAAACTATCGAAAAATAATGTAGTCCATACATATTGATTTGCAATTAGGTTAGCATGAAAAATAATGTAGACAATACATATTAATTTGCTCAAGTAAATCAATATTACATAGTGTTCGAATTACAAGAATTCCAACTACATTATATTCTAAAAATTGGTTGTAACTGCAGGCTCCATTGTTTTACATGCTTCATTCTTGTTGTTTCACATTTATCAATGGTTATTATTGTAGATCAAGATAGATGTAAGAGACTTGGAACGCTTAGACAAACCTGAAGCTAAATGGTAATGAGCATAAGTATTTTTTTTATGTAGACATCTTTTTCAAAAGATATAAACTTTTATATCATCCTAATTCTATTATTTTTATCGTCCAAGTATAACATCAGGACACCAATAGCCCCCCCCCCCCTCCTCCCTCACACAAGCATTAAATGGTCCACACTATAATAAACAAAACTATATACTTGAAAACAAATGACCACTAACATAAAGTTTTTTGTTATATTGGTTTTGATTTGATTGTAGAAAATTGAAAATGAATGTTCGTTTCGATTAGAGATTTTGAGGGTTTTGAAACAGTTCGAAAACTAATTGAGTGCATGGAAAAACAAAATGTGATGGGTGATGAAATAACACTAATTTTAGTTTGGAAACTAATCGCCGGACTAAAACAAATCGCCGCCGCCGCATCGCGCGGGTCCACTATATTATATATATATATATATATATTATATATATATATATATATATATATATATATATATATATATAACAATTATGTCAAATCATATATTATATGAGTTTAAAACTAATCCATTATTATTTGTTATTATTTGTCTTTTGATGGTTGATAGTTACAATTCTCACTAAAATATTAATAAATTTTTTTATTAGTACATGTTGAATTACTAATTTATTTATATTTATTTTAAAATTTTATTTTAAAAATGCTTAATATTTACATTTTAACTTTTTATAAATAACACGTGTAACATACGGGCTCATATCTAATTATAAACAATGAAAGTTTTACATATTGTTTACAATTTCTATATCTGTATTATATAAATTTACATTTGATTATTTAAAACTATAAACATTGTTTGTTTTCCTAGATTTAGTTTTCTAAAAGTAAATGTAAAATTAAAAACCAAAGAAAATATAGACAAAATTACAAAAATGGTCTCTATGGTTTACTAAAAGTCACAAACTCAGTCTTTATAATTTTTTTTTGATGCAAATGGTCCTTGTGGTTTGCAAAACTTACAAGGATGACCCTTTTTAATAACTTTGTTAAACTTCTGCCGTTAGTGCATCTGATGTGGGGGTATTTTAGTATTTTCGAATATAGGAGCCTAGGAGGGATTGAATTCGTTACATTTAGAAAACCAAAGGGACCATTTTTGTTATTTTCCTTAAAAAGTGAAGAAATAAAGGGGGTAGGGCCCGTAGGGGTCGAGAACTCACGACCTCCACCTTCACATACCAATACATTAACCAACTGAGCTGCGCAATCCCATGTTTTTATTTCCTTAAACTAATTTAAATAGTAAGAACATCGTTAAAACATAAATAATAAAAATATACAAAAGCATATTTTTACGTGAATTTTTTTTAGATAAAACAAATATATTTTTTCGTATTATAAAAAAAATTATACAAATAAAGTTTTATGTTTTTTTTTTATGTAAATATGTTTTTTATATATTTAAAAAATACATTTTCATATAATATGTTATTACGTTGTGTTGGAATGCAAAATCGATCGAACTATTTTAAAAATTAAAATATATCGCATTAATTTTGGAACAACCACATTTTCTTAAATGTTTCTTTGCATAGATTTGAGAATAGTAATCCAAGTATTGTTCGTTGGTATTATAATAACATATTTCCAATTTAGGATGAAAACTATATTTATATCGTCATTAGCTTTGCTTATAAATGACATTTTGGTTTTTTTATTTTTCATTTTTATAAACATAAACAAGATCTCATAAATTCCGGCAAAAAAAAAAACAAGTTATGTTTTTTTTTAATATGTATTTTTAAAACCAAAAAATGGTATTTAGAAAACGTATTGGGCCAATACAAAAATTTATTCGACCAATTTTGCATTCCAATACAATGTAATAACATATGATATAAAAACGTATTCTTTAAATACATAAAAAAAACATATTTACATAAAAAAAATACATAAAAAAATAAGATAATTGTATAAATTTATTAGCAAAAATATATTCATTTTATTTAAAAAAAAAGTTTTATGTTTTTTTAGGATTATGCTTTTGGATTATAACGCAATAATGTATTATATGAAAATGTATTTTTTAAATACATAAAAAACATACTTCACATAAAATAAATATATACAAAAAACTTTTTTTTATGTTTTTTTAGGATTACGTTTTTGTATAATATGTTATTACATTTTTTATATATTTAAATGTATAAAAACGGTTTTAGAACTAGCAACCCAAAAGAATTTATACATTTTTTTTATGTCATGAGTAGTGTTAATTATTATTATTTCAAATACATAAAAGAATATATTTTACGAAAACATATTTTTTAAAGACATAAAAAAATATATTTCACGTAAAATAAATTTATAAAAATATATACAAATTGTTTGTAAAAAACTGTATTTTTTTATAATACGACTACAATACAGTTTGTTTTATTTAAAAAATAATTATGTAAGAAAAATGTTTTTTGTAATTTATTTATTATTTAAGTATTAACGTTTTCGTTATTATATATATTAGTTTTAGGAAGATATAAACAAGTGAAAATTCAGCTCAATTGGTTAAGACTTTTGTGATATAAAGGGGTGGAGGTTGCTAGTACGAGCCTTCCCCACTTCCTTCAGCAAATTAAATATCTTTTTCAAACAAATTTCAAAAATGGTCCCTGTGGTTATCAAATGTCACGAATTCAGTTCTTTTATATTTGAAAAGACGAAAATACCCTTACAGATTCAGTCCCTAACGGCATTTTACTAACGGTGTTAGTAAAAAGGGCCAACTTTGCAAGTTTTGCAAACCACAAGGACCATTTGTATCAAAAAAA